CACTGACATCACCGAGAGCAACCAACGGAACGGATGCATCGCTCTATCTCTCAAGTCTGGGCTGTTCCTTAGACTGCTTCTCGCCCTCTCCCCAATTCCAACACCATCGGCAGACTTTTCTTCCTCAGTCTCGGTCGCCTGATATCTCCGCTCTATCGCCTTCGTTAACAGCTTTACTGTCAATCGCTGCATAGTTTGAATCTCCCGACTTCACTCTATCATCTCTTATCTTCACTTTCAAACAATACAGTGCATTCGATCCGATATTCGCGCTGCCATTTCTCCAACAGAGCTCCGACCCACGCACCACGCCTACGCCCACTCAAAATAGACAGCAGCTGAAATCTACCCCAGCTCGCCCGCAGTTCGTTTCGTGCTTCACGTGGAAACCGTCCCCAGTCGCCACCAAAACACACCAGGAGTCGTCGACCCACGCCAAAGGTAGTCTGCCGTCTGCAGTCTGCTCGACGCCGACCTGCGGCACCCACCTGGTCCGGTCTCTCTAGTAGTAGTCGGCACAAGCGCTGCAAGAGACGGTGTGACATATCGCCTCCAACATGTCTGGCAATCCCTTCCAGCCCTTGGCGGCTCATCTACAGACGCCGACGTCCCGGAGACAGTCCAATACTCCCGGGTCGAGCTCAACAGCACCGCCCCCGCCAGCGACACCCTCGAGCCACGCGAACGGGAATGACCAGAACGGACAGCAGCAGCAGCCCCGTCGGCGAAAGAACCATCGCGGCGGCGCCAAGAAGAAGCGCAATCGGCGCAAGTCATTCGCCGTCCTCGCTGAGGAGTCTCACGACGAAGCTCCGCCCACGGCACCCGAGAGAGACGGTTTTTACCGCCAGCGCACGAATTTAAGCAACGCGAGCATTGACAGCCAGGAACTCCTGGATCACAGGTGAGTTCGCGTGGTCCCTAATGTCAGGCGTAACGATGTCTGACTTACACAATGCAGAGATCAACCACAGCCACTCCGACCTCGCAGGCCTTCCATAATGAACAACTCGGCCCCCTTCCCCGCCACGACGACAACACCACAAACCGGCAGCAGACTTCGCAACGCATACGTGGGAGACAGTGGCGACGAGGACGGCTCGTGGGACGAGGGTGCCCCTCTCTTGTCAAGGTCCATTCAGCGCTCTTCCACCGCACCCATGTTCCCCGGCTATGGTTCGAGCGATCCTCGCCAACGAGTGAGCCGACGCGGATCCAGCAGATCCTCGAGGACGAAGCTTGCAACCCCGTTCCAAGACAACAATTATAATGTCAACTACCCACCATCCATGCCTGGGTCGCCCACCTTCCGACCTTCCGACCCCCTGAATCTGAGCTTCGGGGATGTCATGATTCACGAAGACGAGATTGATATTCGTACCTCGCCGCGTGGAAGCCCAAGAAACAGCATCGGGTCACACTCCGACCGGGATATTCATAATCACTCTTCGCCCGATCTAGCACGGAGGAACACCATTGCCCTGACGGCTGAGGAGGATGTTTGCTTCCCGAGCGGGATCTCGGAAATTGGTGACGAGGAAGGTCACTCTCAAGACCCCGCTGCCAAACAACGCCCGAGGCGTCGTCGACGCCGCTGGCCCGATCTTGGTATTCTGGAAGAATGGAGCCGCTTCGAAAAGGAGGGACGCAGCGACGAGAGACGCGCCAAGCGGATTACCGAGCCTCAGCTCATTAACGGCCGTTTACGACCAATTACCCGGGAGTGGTACCGTGCCGAGGAAGATGCTCCTTATCGTTTTACCTACTTCAACGAGGAATTCCAGAGCACTATCCACAGTCAGACAATCTCGGAACTTGTGCAGCCCGGCGGTAACTTCCAAGAGCTGTTCATCCCAGATCCGCGTATTCTCTCCGACGATGAGAGCACAGATAGTGAAGACGATGGTGGTCTGCCACCCCTGTCTACGCATCACTCCCACACTGGCCAAAACGGGGAGTCTAGAGCTCCCACACGGCAGCCATCACTCGCGAATACTCAATCCGAACAAGAGAGAAGAGAGGGCATCAAGTCTCCTGACAAAACTTCGGGTGGTAGCTCCCGCGCCGGATCCGTTCATCGTACCCCTACCGGGATTAGATCGCCGGTCGTCGGCAACCAGACAACCCAGACGCCAGAGCTGCTCGTCAACGCACCGAGGTACGGCGAACGACCTGTGTGGTGGCTCGATGTCCTTTCTCCAACGGAAGCGGAGATGAAGGTGTTGTCCAAGGCCTTTGGTATCCATCCGCTTACAGCTGAGGATATCATGGTTCAGGAGGCGCGAGAAAAGGTTGAACTATTCCGCCACTACTACTTTGTCAACTACCGATCCTTTGACCAGGATCAGAACAGTGAGGACTATTTGGAACCCGTCAACATGTATGTCATCGTCTTCCGCGAGGGTGTCATCAGCTTCCATTTCTCCATGACACCGCATCCCGCCAACGTCCGCCGACGTATCCGTCAGCTGAAGGACTACCTTATCGTCAACTCTGATTGGATTTCCTACGCAATCATTGACGACATTACCGATGTGTTTGTGCCATTGATCCAAAATATTGAGGACGAAGTCGACGACATTGATGATGAAATCCTGAGGCTGCATTCTTCTACTGGCAACTCCAAGAGCGACGTTTTTGACGAGAAGGCCAGCAATACAGGAACAACTGTGGGATCTGAAGGCGATATGCTTCGCCGGGTGGGCGACTGCCGTAAACGAGTGATGAGCTTGTACCGTCTGCTCGGCAACAAGGCAGATGTCATCAAGGGATTTGCGAAGCGCTGCAACGAACGCTGGGATGTCGCACCCAAGTCTGATATTGGACTGTACCTGGGCGATATTCAGGATCATATTGTGACCATGACGTCTAACCTCAGTCACTATGAAAAGTAAGTCATTCAGCCTTGAAGACTGATCAAACCCAAGCTAACCGAGCATTTCTCTCCAGAATCCTTGCGCGATCTCACGGCAACTACTTGGCTCAAATAAACATTCGTATGAACGAGAGACAGGAGCAAACGGCTGACGTTCTCGGCAAGCTGACCGTGCTGGGTACCATTGTTCTGCCCATGAACATTATCACTGGTCTGTGGGGCATGAACGTGTGGGTTCCCGGCCAGGAGTACGAAGGGGACCTGAAATGGTTCTGGGCGATTACCGCAGGACTTTTGGCATTCGGCATGGGCTGTTACCTGATTGCCAAGCGGGTTTACAACATTGTCTAAGGGGAAGAGAGAAAAAAGCGAAATGAGTGAACTATTCCTTTCAGGGGTATGTTGGGCAGTTCTCACTGGCGTTTGATGGGGTTCTTCATTTCTTGTTGAACTGAAAAAGCATACGTTCCAAAACTTGTTTTTTGGTTTAGATTGATCGGTGCACTCACGGATGGTAAACGGGACAATGTGTAATGTACACCGGTCGTTTTGATAATGTCAAATCCTGTTGTTATTTCAGAGGTTTATCACCTAGTGACGGGGAAATGGGGTGACTTGGTTGATATGGATGGAAACTTGTATGCTTGAGATTACAGCCAGCTGATGCCAAGCACGTAAGGCTGACTGGCATCTCTGGTTTAGGAGGCTTGGTTTGGGTCTAATGCGCGTGCAGACACAAGACGAACTCACAGAGTATCTTTCCCGCGCGCAATAGCAGTGATAAAAGCTGGCGTTGACAAAACTTAAGTAGGCTTGACGGCAATATGGGCGAAAAAGGGGTATATGTGCGAGAGGACTTACTGTGGCCAACCTTTTTTTCTTTCTTTTTCTTTTCTTTTTGGCCTGTGATTAAGACTTAAACCTGGGAGCAGCTATCAAGTTCCTTTCCTGCCATTCTGGTTACGCCGGCTATGGCCAATGTCGCCAATTGTACCTGCCAATGGTAACAGGCTGCCGAGACATGTATGCAAGATGCCCTTGATATTGTTACCAGAACATTCTTTCATCAGTTTGAGGAGCTTGCATCTTGTCCCAGCTGGGTTAGAGGAATATAGCCAACACTTTGTTAGTGTTTGCATTTCTCGGCGCAGCCTGCATGAGCATTGCATTAGGGCGCAGGGCATGAGTGGGAAGGAAGGGAATTTGGTCTGAGGACAGTAGCCCATTTCCCAGAGTGTTTGGAATTTTATGAGGAGGTAAAACGCCCATGATGTCAGGTTCGTCAGCAGACACCTACCTACTTGACCTATTAGGTGGACGTAGCCTGATGGTGAAGTGGAAGAAGTGTGTGGCCGGGTTTGGGAGGATGACGGAACTGACGCGGGCAAGGCCAATCACCGTTATGCACGATGCAGAGCATGCCCGAAGAAAGGAAAAGGGGAAGCAGGAGCTGCAGCGAATGATGGGAGCACAATTGTGCTCTTTCTCTCTGTTCGAGCCGTTGGGTTTCGCATGGGCCTGCCTCTTTGGGGTTGATATTTAAACAGAGGAAGTTGTGATTCATGATTTTTGCTTCTTCACTTCTTATCATTCTTCATTTTGTACTGAGTCGTTTCGATAGATCAACGCCCTTGTCGGTAACGACGACGACGACAATAATAACAACGACAACCCCGACCATAAACTACACGCCTGACCGTATACGTGGACCCTGTGCCCTAGGACAGGGAATCGTGGATGACCGCTGGATGCCCAAACTTGGATGCCATCAGGACAAAACCAAACGTGGAGAATCCTTATTGCGGACTCCTTCTATTGTGGAATTCCTTTATCGTGGACTTATTCTATCGTGGACCCTCTTCTCATGGGTTCATCAATTGTTTCGACTTAACGACACGCTCATTTGTCCCTTGACCGGGCAAGTTGCCGTGGAATTTGTCGTGGCTCTACTACCTTCCCTAGGTTCTGGTTGGCGTTTGCTGCCGATGTGGACGGATCATCATCCAAGTATACAATATCTCCCGCTGTACTGTGGATGTTAGCAGTCCATGAGAAGACGTTTACAAACGTCTCGGACTCTTACCTTGGCGTGGATTGCTTTTGGCATAACTTCTGGTACACAAGCATGATGGAAAACTCGATACGTCCAACAGCAGAACTTCCACGCCTTTCGCGAGACACGTTACACGCCAAGGAAATCCCGGAATACCATGCTCTCAACTACCGTGCAGGTCGTCTCCTGACCAACGCGCCTCATCTGGCCTTCGAGGACTTCGGTACCAGGCTGCTATTGCAACGGAACTTTCAGTCAACAAAACGTTCTGACAAACCAGGATTCCGAACAGAACGCTCGGTCGACTCTGGCAATTATACGACAAGATTTCTGCCCCTTACCACAGTTTTCGACTTGGAAGCTTCTGTTGAGTTTGCTCATTACGAGCTGCAATTTTCCCGAGGGGGCTTTTACCCCATGGCCATGGATCAGCATGACTTTCCTCAAGATATCAAGACGTGCAGACAGCCTGGAATTACGCGCCATTCTCTAGCCGTCCAGGGCCGAAGTCCTGTAATTGTTTCCGGAAAGACCGGTTGGAAGACCTTCTCCATCCCTTCCATTGGAGTTCCCAGAGAGAATTCAGCCGGCGGAGACCTGGTCACTCCCCGAGGACAGGGTGCCTCTTCATCGATACCCATTGAAAATCGAAGGCTCCTTATTGCCAGTCCTGACAAAGTCTATCGGGACATAGGCCCAATTTCCTCTCGAGTTGCAGACAAGACTGACTCCCAAGGAAGGGCTCTGAGCACGTTAGTGACAGGATATCGATGGCTCCAAGCGAAGTCTCTTGAAACCTGCAGAGACCTGTTCTCATATCTGCAATGGCTGTTCGAGTCTGATGCTCGGCCTTTCACCTGGCCTTGCCACTGGAAACTTGGCTCAAATATGGAAAACAGGTCTTGCCCATTGCCTTCACAACAAGAAACAGAGACATGCCCGACCTACAATACTTGTCAGCATAGCCGCGAAACCAGTGAAGAAAAGCCCCCAGAACACCGGAGCAGGAATACAGGCTCGCCACGTCGCAAAAGAGGCGCATGTCAACATGAAACCAATGGCCAGGATCGGAGTGACGACGACGAACTGCCGGATGAGTCCAGAAGGAAGAAATCACGACTCCAAGGTCCAGCCACTGACAAGAATGACAATGATCTCAGCTTAGCCTGTCCGTTCTACAAGGCAGACAAACGCACCCACAATCGGTGCTCTTTATTACAGCTGAGTAGGATCAGAGACGTGAAGCAGCATCTGTATCGGAAGCATATGCAGCCTCACTACTGCTCAAGGTGCGGTCGACAATTCGAGACGCAAACTGAGGAGAGGTGCCACACAAGGCAACAGGACTGCAGCAAGCGAGCCAACCAGCCGCCCGACGGAATCACCCAAGACCAGCAGAAGGAGCTCAAGGAGAGGGTAGACCGCAAGCTCGCCGTGAAGGAGCAGTGGTTCGCCGTCTGGACCATCGTATTCCCCGATACACCGCCACCAGACTCACCATATGTTTACAGCCCTACCCGTGAGGTGGCAACAAATATGCGAAACTACTGGCAAGAAACCAAGGCGGAGATGCTGGTCAACCATGCTGACCGCATGCCGGGTATTGACAGGGAACGGGTCATTGGCGGTTTGAATACGTTTATGGAAACCTTCTTCAATCGATTCATCGAGGAGCACACCTCGGTTGCCGAGGGAGAGCAAGTTTCGGATTCATCTTCAGACGGTAGTCCAGGTAAATCGATTCCAAAGAGATCAAGGCCTTGCTAGACAAGAAACTGACGCAGTTCTACAGGGACAGCATGTTTCTCAGAGAGGGCGCCGGCTATATCATCACCAAGCAGTAGCCAAAGGACTTTATTCGAATCCTTCCGCGACTTGCTTTCTGTCATGAGTGGTGCCGCCAACGACAATGTCATGATAGACGACGGTTCGCTTATCGCCAACTATGCAATGACCATGGGAGAAACGGACGGGCACTGGGAATTTCCGTCGAGTGATGATGCTTATGGTTGGGGTCAGCTCCCCACGGCTGGTCCGTTCTTCCAAGATGATCCTCTTACTTGAGAAACAGCTCTAGGTTTGTTTGTCGAAGGTGGCTCGGAAACCCTAGAAATGCCAGAATAACTGACTGCTGTCCCCAATAGACAGTATCTCCAACTTCGACAGTAATTCCATGGCAAAGCCAGATGGATGCGTAGCAGAGAGCCCAAGAGTCAGATGGGGTCAGTCGTGGAGTACAGGACATGATGACTTTGACCAAGAAGCGTCGCTATGGATTTTCCTACCAATCTCAGAATTTCGATGGCTATTCTCCTATTATTTCTAGAATGTGGTGGCTCTTGTCTGTATCATAGAAATTCCTCGGATGAAGTGGAAAAGAACTGAGTTTTGGAAATGAGTTGGACGACGCATTCATCATACATCTAAGGTAGTCCAGCGATATACTTATGGCCCCATGTCACAAAAACGGAATCATTATCATCAACTATGTCATATGACACACTTCGCTTTAAGGTTGTGCTAAACAGCGTGAACGAATGATGCTTTGCACATTGGCACAGGTTCGGTTGCCGGTATGGTGTTATAGAGTGTGAAAGTCTTGTGGGGTCGGTCAAGAAAAGGTCTCCAAGATGTCGAGCTACCTCCACCTTATACAATGCGTGTGTCCTTATCTTGGCTTGACCGCGAGACACAATCTCTATATACTGCAATAGGCTCGGCGAGTTACGTTCGGGAATTATCATAGAGGGGAAGCATCCAAAGTTGCTTGACCGATCTGCAACTCATGACATCTTTGAAGACAAGACCCCTGGACACAAGCAGATGGACAGGCTCCAAAGATTCCACAGGCAACAGTTGTGTATATATCAGCAAGCCAGCTACGTACGCGATAACCGGGAACCGGCAGCTGCTCATCTGAATTGATGTACCTGCCAACTAGAGATGCCTCGGCTCCTCCCATAGTAGACCTCATCATGAGACGTTGGCGAAAAAAGAGGTCGCGCAATCTTCGAGACTCTCGGCAGTGAACCCGGCCGGAGCAACAGACAGGAAATTAACTTCCATCAACCTTTTCCGCAGCACTCTGATCCGACGAGGGGCAGAAAACTTTTTAACACTTACACGACTTCAGAGTTAGAATTGGAAGTCATTTAGTCAGGTCCCCGTCACCTCCCTTTTCCCCCGCTCCCTCTCCGAGAAATGGTTCAAGGCAAAATCACTATCAGACCAAAACTCAATTCACTCGACTATAGAGTTTTGGGCCCGAAAAAGTAAGGCGACTTGCGAAAAAGAGGGAAAGGGCCAAAAACCCTGAGATTGTGTCATTACAAACCAAAGAAGGACGAACCCCGGAAGGACCGATATCGTCTGAAGACTTCTCAAACAGCAGAAGATGGAGAAAAAGGGCTGATGTACACGACAATGGTATCGTGTAAAGTCAAAGAGCGAGAAAAGAGAAGAGACCGACCGCGACAGCCTCGCGATCCGAGAGCCAACGGTCTTGCTAGGATGACGGTCCCATGTTTTTGGAGCGGCGCCTCGACTGACAGAGCCCCGAGTTTCAGGAAGAAGTCATGGAAGAAACAGAGAAAAGAAATTGGAAAAAGTATGAAAAAAAGATGGGATCGAAAAAAAAGACCCATCGGGCTGAAGCAGCCCGCACATCTGGGAAACGTCGGACGCCAAGGTTTTGGTTTCTGCTCTGTTCGTGGGGACCCCCCGGTCTCTCTGCCTAGGCACTTTGTACCCCTCCACCCCACTCGGGGGACGCAACCACTTCTAGTCTCTGTTGGGGGCTCAACTACCGCCCTCCACTGCCCTGCGCCATCGAGGCATTGGATGATCGAGATCAGTCCCCTTGTGCGTACCATTCTGAGAGGGCGCCGCGGGCATCGACAAGCAAGCTGGTTCGGGAAGTCTGGAAACTCAATTACTTGACAATCGTCGAGGTTACATTGGTGCGGTGATGGCCATCAATGGAGGGTAGCGAGATAAGTTGATAACCGGGCACGCTGAAAAGTATTCCTAGGCAAGGCGAAAGGTTGGAGATTGGGCGAAACGCCAAGGACAGGGCGACGACGGAGTCGAATCATGAAGGTGGGAGGAGATGGAGAGAGGACGAAACCCACCTAGCAGCGAGAGCTTGAGGAGGGATTTCCCGACCAACAATCGGAGCTTTCAAAATCCACGATAGGCGTGGTGTGCGAAACAGGCCGAAGAGGGTGCGTGGCCAAGGATATGGTGTGCCACGGAAGTAAACCCGACCCGACTTTGTCTGGATAGCGTGCAGTAAAGACCAAACTTGCGCCTCCAAGAACGACGGGATCTTGATAGAACCTGGCCGAGCCTGCATGCTGCGGCCAGTTAATTGGTCTCGCGCGTATGGTGGGAGGGGGCTGTTGCTCAAGCCCGCCCGGCTGCAGCATAGACGCAGTTGCTGGCATGTCTTGTAGCTAGATTGCGCGAGCTTGAAGAGGGTTACAAACTCTCACCGTACCAGCCGTCGGAAGCCCCGGCCGTCTTAGCTCGGCGCGATGCCATTGGCCTTCGACTTCTGCTCTATTTTCTGCTTTTCCTGAGCTTTGGTGTGGGATGTTGGTGTAAGCATGCTGTTGAACGTAGATTCCGGTTTTCGATACCGCAACACCACTGAGCATCCGTAAAGATGCAAGGTGACTAGGGTGAGATGAGTAGGGTGATGAAGCTCTTGTTTGACATAGGTATCTCTTCCACGCATTTTGATATCAGAGAATGCTTCGAGGCAAAACTAGCAAGCGTCGATGACTGGCTGGCAAGCGTTGTTCTATTTTAATTTCAGGTTTGACGGGGAAACCTGGGTGCTCTGCGGCGAAAATGGAAGGCTGCTGGCCGATCAGTAGAAACATGGAGAGAATTACCCAGAAGCTCGGGCCTCAAGACCCTTCCTTCCTTCGATGTACCTGTCATTCGTCTGGTGGTGTGTGTGTGTGTGTGTGTGTACTGTATGAGGCGAAAGTGACTTACTGACCCCGGCTGGTAACCGTATTGCCAATCCAGCAAGTATGGAGATATCAAACACGATACCTACTGAGAGACAGTGGCAATCCCGCGCCGGCTTGAAGGGATACAGAGCTGGTACAACATCGGAAGGACCCTGCGATGATGCAGGCTTTGTCCAGACTTTCCGCACGACACTGCGTTCCTTCACCGTCTCCTGGAAAGACAGGCGCAAAATTTTTGATACGGGAAGGCGGGAGATATCAGAGAAAGTTGGACATGTATAGAAAAATCTCGAAGCAATGGAAACGTTCCTAGAGACTTCACGGGTACGATTGGGGTCCCTTGGCCGTTGATTGTGAGACTCGATGCAAGCGAATCAAATCCGAGTTACAGGCTGGTATATGGTGTAGAACTGGGCACGAATTGTAGAAGAGTGAGCGGATAAAACTTCACGGCCCTGTGGAGGCAACTTGGCCCGTACTTCGTACACACGTCCACGTATCTGATGTGCGCGTACCGTAAGCCATCGATCCGCGTCATGTGTGCAACTGTGATTGAGGCGCAGCTCGACTATGCAATATGGAACCCGCGGGAGTTGACGAGCAGAGCTGAAGACTAACGCTTTATGCGGCGGTCTGGCAGCCAAGTTGATATTCCGGACTCTCGGTTGGAAGTGGACCTTGCAGGTTCGCAGTACTGCGACGGGTCAGCCTTCGTATGGCCGGCCGTTGAACACGAAGTCCACCGGCTTGCAGGGGTGGTCAACATCTCACCCCAAGCTCGGGCTGGGCAAAAGTTGACAACGTGGAGCACTGAAGAGGGAGAGGCGGTGGGACGGGCATGATCCTCGCTGCCCTTTGGCGTCTAGTCCAAGTGATTGAGTGTCTCGGCCTTAGGGGTCCATTGTCGAGATGCTGTTCGGTCCTAATGGCATCTGAGGATCGAGGATCAGATGAAAGATGCTGGCTGACTGTGTTTGAGGCGCTGTGCCAGAATTTCCATGAGTCGCAACGCAGCCCCGCTCCCGCGAGACAGACAAACCACATAAGGTACTGACCGAGTGATTTGTCGTTCGGGATCGGAAAGGACAATCATGATTGACTGCCTGCTTGAATGATGCAGAGGCAGTCAAGTTTCAGACTGAACCACTGTTGTGCTTCCCCGACGCACGTCTTCCATGCGGCCGCATCTCGCTCAGCAACAACGCTGGCCAGTGGGAAGAATGGCCGTGTATAGTGTACAGCGAAGGTGGGAGTTTGTAGTAGCATCGATTTAAAGCCAGAGGAACAAAGCGGCGGAATGGGAATGATGAAAGCCCGTCGTGCGCCGTCTGGTAGCGACCTCGCTGATTTGCATGTACGAAGTCCCAAACAGTCGCGTACAGTAGGTACAGATACCGTGTACCATGATAGGTAGTGTAGGTAGGTAGTCGATTGTGTGCGGTTGTCCTCAATATTGACTGGAAGTAATGGATGGCCGGGCGTCGATCCTGGTTGGGCGCAGTGGCAGTGGTGGCTGATCGGGTCTTGTCGTCCGTCTACAAGCCTGCAGGACTAAGGCTAAGGTTTTCTTGGATGGAACCTCATAACTGTGCTGGGGTTGGACGGGTTGGACGGGTGGGATGGTTGATGAGGGGCGAAACGCGTAATGGCGCGGGCTTCAGGAATTCCCCTCCACCTGAGCACCCCTCTTATTGCCAATGGTTGAGAGTCCGTTGATTGACCGGTGCTTGTCTTGCGTCTGATTCTGAGAGGTACACGCACGCGGTTTGGAGTCTCAGGGCAACACACGTCAAGCTCGAGTTCCAGGCCAGGAACGTGCTTGGGGAGGTTGTGACAGGTTATGGGAGGTGGGCATGAGACGGCTAAGGTGGAAAAGGCGGGTGGGTGCACTGTGGAGGTCGAGCAGACGCGGGCAATAACAATTGGAATTTTGAGATGGAATGCAAGGCCAGGCCTTTGATTTCCTCTGCGTCAATTTGCGGCCAGCTGCAGTGCAGCTTGTGCCAAATAGGCTGCTGGGTTTCTAGAAAGACCGGCACGGTGGGGGAGGGAGCTTTTCGAATGTTGTTGACGACTTTGGCG